CTTCCCTTTGGGGGTTGTCGTGGGTGTTGTGGAGTCATTGGTCAAGGTGTTTAGGGGTCATTTTTGTTCTATAGCCAGAAAGAGACCCACTTCAAGACATGTGGTTCTGCCGCATGTTCATAGGATGTCCCACGGTATTAAGAAAGTCGCCAGTAGGTACGACGTCCCCGTAGTATTTTCGGCACCATCCAAGTTGTCGCAACTGTGTGCAACTATTAGTCGAGGTGGATACCCGGGAGCACAATGTGAGGTCAACCACCGCAACCGGTATGTTCCTGCGCATGTGGGGTAGTGTACCTGATTCCCTTGTCCTGTGGCAGAGTACATTGGGAAGACGGAGAAGTGCGTCTATGTCCGGGCGGGGGAACACCCTTTCGTTGCGCTCCTCACCGTCTGGACATCTTGCGGTCCATTGTGATGGATGTGCATGCTCTCCGCTATTTGATGACATTGAAGGGATGCTGAAGCGGAATTTTTATACGCAAAACAAGATCGCAGAAGCTTTGAATGAGACGCCACGAACTCCAAAACATCACTCATACATCGCTCTCTCAAACGGATGGCCGTATTTTTGGAAAAGAAAAGCGCGATCAAGCGAGGAATGTGGCGTCACGATTCTCCTGGAACAGTTGAAAATGAGGGGAAGCGGCCTTGTTTCTCTCCTCCTCGCTTCGGTTCACATGTTCGAGGGGACGAAGCGAAGAGGAGAGGTAATGATAATCGCGATGTCACATATGTCTCGTGGGCCTCGTCGGCCGTGTTCAGTCGCGCACTTCTTTTCCAAAAATACGGCCATCCGTTAGAGATATCGCGGTATGAGTGATGTTTTGGGATTTTGCAGCGTCTCGCCTATCGCTCAACCCTTGTTTTGTGAACTCCAGATTTCGGTTCAGCATCGATCCCTTCAAGATTTCAGCACAGAAGCGAGACTACCAGAAAAATTGACGAGCCTTTTTTTATTGCCAGTTATGAAGCGGGGCATATGTTGTTTGAGGTGGGGTTTGGTGTCGCTCGTCAGAAGGCCTGGCTCATGCTGACGTCCATTCCCCCATCGCCGAGGTCTCGTTGTCCGAAGTGTAGGCGGCAGACGAAGTAACAGGACGGAAAAACTAGTTTATTTACTGGGTATAAGTAGTACGTAATGGCAAATGGAGAACACACAATCGGCAGCGGACAGGTCCTTAGATAATAAAAGGCAGGACTCTGGAGCTGCCGTGCCATTGGTCGGTTAATCCTGCATTCCCAAGCTGGCCTTGACGTCAGCAACCTCCTTTCGGCGTTGCTTCTCGGTTGTTGTTGTTCTGAGAGCTGAAGGCGTCTAGTGAGGGATCGTCTTTCATGCAGGAGACGCAGACACAACAGACTGCACATCGGTTCAGGATCAGATATTGTGTGGCATTCTCGTGGAATTCAGACGCCGTAGACGCCGTAGACAAAACACACTGACGGTAACGTCTGTTCCTATGCACTTGAACCGAGGCCTGAGACAAACGTTTCTTCGGTTCCAGCTCAGACAGGTCGAACGTGCGAAAAGGGTTCCAATCGCACGCCGACCGTCTCGACGTTTGGTTGGTCGTCGTCGGCATAAGAATGCAAGGTCGATCTCAACAATGTGTAAGCGCTCCGTTGGTAGCCCTGGTAGCCCTGCAGCGGGTGACGAGGTTGAATTTCTTAGGAAGTCGGGCAAGTTTGTGTAGGTGTGTGTCGGCATGATGGGAGAGGGAGGTGGGGGTGGTTATCGGGTTGTTTGATTTTGTGTCAATCCTTTCCAGTTCATGTTTAATTGCTGTACCGTGCAAAAGTAAAATGTCAGTTGTAAGTCAGCGCTGTTTGTGTACACCTTCTACTTGTCTTCCGTTTTTTTGAGCTGTCTTTTCCATTTCGACATGACCAACCAACTAGCCCAATCCATGCCTTGTTCGTAAATTACGGGGAAAGTCTGCTATTGAAGAGTAATTTACATTCCTAACGTTGAAAAAGGACCTGTGAGCTTTGACACACACAACGCGCAGATTCTTCGCTCCATTGTAGTATAGATGTTTGCATCGCTTATCACCCGGCCAAAAATGCTGAGTCACTGAGCTGTGGACGCATGCACAGGGTCTGATCTACCGCATAGCAGAGCAACAGCGCATGCTCAGAAGTCCGCTCCAGAGCACAGCAGACAAAGATGGCAGCGCGCAGAAGGCGATTTTTGGAAAGTTTGCACGCCAAATGAAGTAAAAAGTGCATTTGATAAAATCAAGCAAATCACATACCAGTCATAATGTACAAAGTAAAATACAAGCGTTTTTTTTACTCGATACGGTTTGGTGTCTTTTGTTCATGCCAGATATGATTACAATATGCACTAACCACATTACTTTAGAAAATGCAAGCAAATCATGACAGAACTTCCTTGGATGGACGAAGGCTTGTCATGATCAGCCAAGCGGTGCCATCAATTGCTTCAAACATTTATCACAAATCGAAATTGAAAAATGCACTTTTGAGTCGGGTCAATATCCTATGAGCTGATGACGTTTTAGCGAACGGCGACATTTGAGCGAATCGACGTTTTAGAGAATAACGGGGCCGCGCGTTAACCCACCCCCCGCTCTGCGCTTACGCCACTTCGCTGCGACAGTCTGGGGTGGCTCATTACAAAAATGTTATCCCATTTGGCACACCCTTAAACGCCACTCCGCGGCGGCCGACTATTCCCTAAAGTGTCATTCAATGAAACCTCGGCGTTCGCTAAACGTCATTCATTCAAGTGAGTTCCTCCCTTTTGGGTCATCTCATGCAAAGATCGAAGCAGAGCAATGTACTCGAAGTACCAATATTGCATGATTCTGGAACGTAGATGGAGGGAAACTCGTTGCTTAGTTGAAGCACAGAGACCTTGAAGTACTTACGATACGATACGAAGTTTATTGATTCACCTCATAGATGCATCTGGTAAATGAAAGGCCGGAGGAAAAGCTGCAGAAATGCAGCTCGACGGAGCTCCGGGCCTCCCATTCAGCAGCAGCGACGGAGTACGCAATAAAATGCGTCCAGTGAAATGTGTGAACCTATCCATGCGTATAAAACTAACAGTTTAAGGATACAGTTGTTAGACATTCGCATGACATCTATATTTTTATAGAAATAATCATTCAACAAAAAAGGTAAAGTACAACTTATCATTCTGCTTTTCATACTTCTTTCGGCACTTCGGAACATGCCAAGGCTGGTGATGCCTAGACGAATAATATTTAGTTTTTTCTTTTGAATCAAATAATTGAATAATTTTACTAGAGGATCCATATGACTAATAATCATAAGCAATTGTTAAACGATAATTATAACTTTGGTGTATGTTAAGTATTTTGTATATTTTAAATAATGATTGTGTATGATGAGTGTAGGAAGCATTTGCGATTATTCTTATCACTTTCTTGTAATAAATGTATCTTATTTAAATTGGAGGAAGATGTATTGCCCCAGACAAGGTGGCAGTAACACAAATGAGAAAAAAAAAGAATTATATAAAACCTTTCTTACGCTTGTTGGAAGAACATGACTGTGCTTATTAATTATTCCTACGCATCTTCCTAACTTAGAGCAAAGGTATTTAACGTGATTATTCCAGAGCCTATCATCAGAGAAAATGACTCCGAGCATTTTAATGCTTAAAAAAAAATCCAATGTTGAATGACCCAAATTTTAAGACTAGAGCGTATCACTCGAACCACGAGGGATAGGCTTCAAAAACTGATTTTCACAAACTATCAGACCCTTCGGAATATCATCAAAATATGTGCGTACAGTGCTCAGCAAACTTATCTGGAACACATCCTAAGCCTACTCTTGGCTTGTTCTATTTTTTTTTTTTTCGATGTGTGCGTGCATAGCTGGCGCTAGCCCTAAGCTATTTCTCTTTGTGTCTCACTATGTCCGTAGCATGCCTTCAATACACATAAATATGCGCAGTTCTCTCACGTTTTATTTTTTTTCGGCATTCAATGTTCCAGAAGTGTTCCGTATAAGTTTGACGAGCACTGTACATGAATATGCGCATAGATTTGTCGTACTCTGCAATAATTTTTTTTAAAAGGTTGGGAAAGAAAGCGTAGATAAAAGCGATGATAGTTGCAATGTCAAGTAGATTCGCCTACGGGATTAATGAGGGACATTCAATGCGGGCGCACACTTTTTGTTTTACAGCACAAACAGAAATAAGAGATGAGTCAGTCGTCTCTAAACATTCACGTGCCTTAGCCTCCTTCTTTTCCGGTAACTCCCACCAGACGAATCAGAAGCAGCGAGGCAAATGCGAAGGAAGACGAAGAAAGAAAAAAAAAAACATGGCTCGATAGTTTCCCCGTCAGAGGGCGTCGCGTATGTGAGCTTCGTCCTCCGCTGCCTCCCACGCGAAGGGTCCCACGCATCTCTACGCTCTCTAGGCTTCTGTCATCGACTGGGTGCCGGGAAATTTCATATTGTAGTTTCTCTTTTCCACCAAACCACCGAGTGCATTTGTTCAGCGGCCATCAGCGTATCGAATCAAACTACAGCATGCGGACGGACTGAATAAACACGAGCGCTGAGTTCTCGCAAGCCGTTCTAAGAAAAATGCTTGTCTAAAAGAAATTAACTGGCATGCTGAAAATAAAGAACAAAAACAGTTATAGCCGGCGACTGGTTAAGAGTAAAGTGGAAGCTCCTCCCACCTCTTTCCACTTTACTCTTAAGCTGTCACGATGACTTGATCAAACTATACTAGCATACTATACTCCCCCCCCCCCCCCCCCCCCCAACCTCTATTCAAACGAGCGCGTGATATTGAGGTATTTGTTCAACAATGTGTGATTTTTTCCATGTTGCACAGCGTCACCAGATTATTCACCCTCGATTGTTATGTTCTGCGTGTGTCTGGTGACACTTTGATACACTTCACTTTTCGCATTCTTGTGGTGATCGCGCCCAAGGATACGAAGAGCGAGGGAGTAACAACAAAACAAGCTCAGTCTTACCTGGCGGTACCGAGTAGATCATCTTGATTGTGTTCCTATAGCCGTCCGGGAGAGCTTTCTGCGACTCAAAAGCCGGGGCTCGAGCTCGGACACGGTCGTCGCAATTCTCGCGATAGGTTCTTGCAAAGGCGTTCAAATTTGCGGCGCTGTACGCACACTTTGCTTTAGCGGGCCAGACGTTCGCTACCCACGGGGTCGTGACACCTCAACGGAATGCCACTGCCGCATCCGGGTCACTGTTCAGGCTATATATACTGCCGCAAACTAGCGTTGAGTCGCACTGTTGCGTTGCGCTGTTGCGCTCCTCGGGTGCATCTCAGGTTGTGATTCTCTCTTGGGTCCCAGGTTAGGACTCTTTCGGTTCAGTGCCGCGTTGCAGAGATTTGCCCACCAGTTGGGTTCCAGTGTTGAGCTTTACTGTACTGCACGGATGCTGTACACCCGATGGACGGCTCCTGCTTCGACTTCACTTGGGCACCCAAATGAACTTCGACGACCTTGACTCTAGACGGTCATAGCCGGGATCGTTTCCACCGAGTCGTTCCCGGAACTTGTGAACCGGGGAACATCAGCAGCTCGTTGCTGCCAGCGGTGGAACCGAAACATGCGTTCGGAGCCCCACCGGTGCAACTCTCGCGAGACAAGACATCCTCGAATGACAGCGTCGACGGAACTGGAGCCAAGCGCTGAAATCCATCCTCTTTATATTGTTTTCCCGGGCGGCTTTATCCGTTGGCTGGCAGCGCCAAGCAGATGCCACAGTTCCCCTAAATAACAACGCTCTGCAGTCCCGTTCTCGGAGGAGAAATTAAAACAAACAAAAACGTCCTCCTTTTTTTTTTTTTTTGCGTTGTGAAGCGAGTTGGGAACCCCGGGCCGTCACTCTTCGACGCTTAGCGAGCGCGAGCCCTGTTCCAGCGTGCAACCTTACGTAAACAGAAGGAGAGCGTGGCCGTGAATTCGAACTCGCGCGGGTGGGCGGGCCCCGCATCTTTGTGTGCGGCTTTGTTTTGACACGGGTTAACGATTTTTAAAGGGATTCTATGGGAACGGAAGACAGCGGGGGGTGGGGGGAACACGACGCTTTTGGCCTAAGGACGGATGGGGAATTTCTAAATAAAGGAGGGGCCGGTCACAAACGCGTAGAGGCGCGTTGTTTTCATTGGTAGATAGAAGGACGTACGCTGTTTGCTTTACGGGTGTGCGCGTGTTGCCGCAGAAGCGAGGAACAGACCCACTGGCACAGTGAGGTCGCGGTCGGTACGCAGGGACCCTTTAGTTACTCTAGAATATAAAATACAATAAAAAACGATGTCGCGTTTGTTTTGGAAGAACCTGAATTCGGTGCGCGCAAGAGGACGACCGGAAGGTCTCCCAGAAACACCAGCAACCTGCAGCGGATGTGGCAAGACGCGAAAGGTCTAACAGTTTAGTTGTGTCTAGACGCATGATCGAAGGACTCCTGACCGTGCTCTATTTTGATGTACTGCTCGGTGTTACTCGATGGAAGGAGCGGAGCGGAGTATTAAATCGGTCGTAAAACCGCAATGCCGATGAAGTACGTGAATACAGTAACATCGCAGGTGCATTCTGGAAAAGAAAACCCTCGATCTAAAGTAGAAAGCGGTTTGGCAACGCGCCATTGAATACAAGCAAGATGGGTACTTTTCCTGAAAATAGATCGAACTGTGGATAAATTATATTTTTATTTTTTATTTGAACATACTGTCAGCGTTCGGGCCAAAGGAGGTAGGGAAGCTTGTTGAAGGTGACAACGCACTCACACAGATAAAATAGTTTTTAAAAAGCCGGTGTTTGCAGCAAAAAGCAAATTGATTATTCGAGTTGATGAAACAACTTGTTTGCTATGATACTTCAGCAGATCAAAACTTTAGTTACAGTGGAGTTTGGACATCATGATGGGAACCTCGTGAAAAGAACTTCCCCCTAGTTTTCAGCTCTCCGAATAGCCGAATTTTTTCCGTCAGCTTCGTGAACGCGGTATCACCGTTGCCACTGCCACTGCAGCCGGCTCCAGTTGTTAACTCTGGGCAGCAGTAGAAGTGCAAAGCAACAAGAACAACAAGAACAAAAAGAAGGAGAAGAACAACAGTAACAACAACAATAAAATATTAAACGACGTAGAATGTTCAAACTCAAGCCCAGTTTGGTGAACCACCCATCGAAAATTGATTTTTTTTATGTGCACAAGGCGATGTTTGCCGAACACCGGGCGAATATACTGACCATTGCAAGATCAATCATAGATCATATGCATGCTTCTTTTTCAACTTACGAACCAAATGGAAGATAGAAAGTTCAGTGCTCCCCGACTTGTTCAAAAGAACACCACTTTTTGCTTTTCTTCAACCCGATAAAAACCTTTCTTGCTTTATTATTATTCCTTTTTTTATCTTTTATATCGAAACAAAATAAATTCACATGAAGCACCAAATGATAGAGAGACGGTACGTAAATATTTTCGGGGTTACTTTAGCCGTAAGCGTTTGATTTAAATCATCGTAGTAAAATCGGCGTGATTGAAATCACGCTCTAAATCACCTCGATCTTTATTCGTCACTGTCTTAATTCTTGCACTGATCGTTAAAGCGACGGGGAGTAATTTGTTTATTGTGTTTTGCTCTAGCTGCATTATTATTGTCTGAGAAACTATTTATACCTCGCTTTGCTCTAGTTGCAGTGGGTTTCTTTGGCCCCAGTTAAATTTGTACGTGCAAAACGCGTAAAGCAGGTCGCATATTTCGCCCAACGACTGCTCTCTAAACTTATGTCACGGTTAGGCGTTCTCTTAGAGTTATTATGTAGCTGTTACGTGAACCGTTTAATGTGCAATTGCCCTGTTGGGTGCAGAAGCTGAAATGTAACGTCACCGATGTCAGGGCTAATTAAACTTGACCAAGAACAGCGCCAACAGTGGTCTGCACAAACCTTAATTTCCATTCGTTCCTTTGGTACGACGGAGGACTCGTCCCAGCTAAATTCCTACTTAATTTTACGTCTCGGCGCATACCGAATAGCGATGTGCGAAATTGAATGGCGTTCACAGCGTTTGACTAGGCTCGTGGAATTTGCAATAACATAATGACCTAACTTTTTTTTTTTTTTTAATAGTTAGCCATGCATTTTGTTTTCTGTTTTAATTTACATGAGAGGCGTAAGCGCCTTATCGTACACTCTAAGCAATCTGGAACGTTTGCTTTCTCGCAAAACGTTTAAACCTAAAAAAAAAATTCAGTCTGGGCTGTGACACTGCTGTTTGGTCTGAAGATATTTTGAACCACTCGTCAATATCTAAGATTTGAGCAATTAAATCAGACATAAAAAAGGAAAAAAAAAAAGAAAAAAAAAAACGCAGAATGGCGGTACATTTACTGTGAGCGAAAGGCAAAGGCATGAAAGGCGACGAGAACCGTGACGATACACTTTTCGAGCCGCTTGATTGGCTCCACCGGGTCGCAGTGTCGGCTGCGGTCGAACTTGAAGCGAAACGGAGTATAGCGCCGCGGCTTTGTATAATGATTCACTGCCAACGCTTAGTTGGTTCGTTCGGCTGAAGACACTGAAGCGAAACGGAGTATAGCCCGGCGTTGTAGTGACTTACTGCCGATGCTTGGTTGGTTAGTCCGACTGCAGACACTGAAGACGCTGCCTCGGCTGTATCGACCAAGCACATTGTTTACAAACAACCCCGCGATTGCCCGGACCGGGTGTGGGCACTACGCGTGTGCAGAAACCAGATTCTCCAGAGGCGAGGCACCTGCGCATGCGCGGTGGCGACACCAGCGCCACCGTAGTGGCCTGACGTCAGAGAGTTGGGTTGATCTATACACGTTTGCAAGTCCGGCTTCAGGGCGCTGCCATCTTGCCTGTCTGGGGTGCGCTTGGACCAGTCATAATCCGATTACGAAGCCTTGCTAAGGCGTCGTAATCGGATTATGGCCGCTCCCGAGAGCGCACCCCACTGAGGAAGATGGCGGCCCCCTGAGACCGGACTTGCAAACGTGTATAGTCCCACCGAAGAACGCAGTGGTGGTTTTGTTACGCCGCCGCTGCCGCAATGCATATCGAGGGAACTTTAGTCTTTTTTTGCACGTGGGACAACCTCGCTGAAGCACTGCGCGTGCAGAGCATGACATGGCGGCAAGAGGCGTCTCGAGAACTGCCGCCTGCCTCCTCTGAAGTTGTGGCGGCGTCACGCATGCACCGAACACTCGGTGAGATCGGTCTGTTGATCCTTCTGCTACGTCCTCTCACGCCAAGGTGAGAGAGGACGTAGCAGAAGCGCGACGGGGCCAAAAGGGCGTTAGCGGAAAGGTATGTCGATGCACAGCTATAGGACGGCGCCCAAAATGCTGTTGCCAAGTCGACCCGTGCCAGGCCTCTTCGTTCGGGCAAGCGTACGAGGCCACGCCGCGATAAGGTATACGGCGGGGCTTCTCTGACCGACAAAGGGAGCGGATATGTGCCGTCTTCGCACCTGTCGGATTCCCAGGCGGGGGCTGTTTACAACTCGGGACCTATCACTTTCTATAAAAGTTCCGCCGAACGAACCCGAAAGCCGGCCCCGTTGGCGCCCCTGCTGACAGCGTGGGATACCACGTAATTCTTGCTCCGTAGAAAAGCGGGTCACCCTTTCTGGACACATTTTGAAAAACAGCCCGAAAACCACACAGACAAGAAGGAGCAACACACAGGACGAGGCGCTGTCCGGTGTGTTCCTCCTTGTCCGTGTGGTATTCGCGCTGTTTTTCAAAATGAATTCCTACCAACTCGCCCAACTTTCCATTCTAGTAACCTTTCTGGGCATTGTATATGCTGAGCGCGTGTTGATGGCGCGCTTCCAGAGTACCTTGTAATGTGCATTCCACACCATCAGGATTGCCCCTCTCAGCAGCCTATTAATGTGAGCTCGTTCTGAGCATGCGCTCTTAACAGCGACCTCAAATATGGCGTCCACTGAATACCCCCCATATATGGAAGAGATCGAACAGTTACGCCCCTAGCGGTACTCTTCAGCTGTAAGGGCAACAAATATTTTTTTTTTTTTTTCGATCAGAGGAGTCGAAGATAGCGATTACAAGGCCGCTCCTCGTGCGACCAAAGCACTTAGCACTGATCAGACCGAAGCACTAGTGGCCAGGCTGTGCTAGGCGAGGTTAAATTTATTTATTATGCTGTGTTAGTAAACATCGTGCTGTGGGGTTTAACAACGAGCTCGATAAAGCGCCCCCTTACAGTTCAATCTCCTGCAGCCCAGTACTTGACCGGCAACTTTTTAGTTTGGTTGCTTATCTTGGGTTTGTTTAGTTCGAGTGTTTTAACGCACCGCAGACCAGAGCACGTGGAGCGAAAGCTCGCGCTGTAGAACTCAGAAACCTGCCCATTTCGATCTGGATGAGCATCGTACGAGCGTGCGGTCATGTGTCACTACTACGTGACGCACGTTAAAGACCCCAGGCTATCAGTGGTACTGCAGTGGAGAAATTTCTTATCTACAGCGGAGACACCAGGCGTCCACTGGAGGTGACCAACTTCCCGTTGTCTAAACAAACGCAAAACGCATTCCCCTGCCTTCGCGGTTACTTAGTTCTAACGGGAACAGCTGACTCTGTATAGTTCAGAAGCGATGCATTCAGCTCCTAACGGTTCGACATGGTCCCGGCTCTCCGCTCACTGTTCAAAGCTGGCTATTGCTTTTCAGCGAAGGAATGGAAACTCGGACCGAAAACGGGGTCGCTTACAAAAGAACGGCGAGCTTAACGCCGACGAGAAAAGGAGTCCACTGAAGGCACAACTGATGACCCGTTGCCTCGTTGCCCCGGCCAACCATACCGAGTGTACGTCATGTGCAGGTAGTTTGTCTCACTGCGCCATAACTTTGTTTGTCTACGACCACTCATTCGAGGGATGCACTTTCCAAAGCTGCACTTTATCCCGGCGCTTGGTTATTCGGGTGGGGCTCATTCTCTCTCACACTGCATGGTTCATTAAGTACATAGGCGATTTGAAACATCTTTGAATTTCGTTATGGCGCACTCACGGCCTGCAACACGTTTGAAAAGGTATAGCTCGCCTGACTCGGCAACGAAATGTCTCAATGTGGGCGACGCCGAAGCAGACAATCAAATGATTGGTTCTTTCTACGTAGAGGAGAGCAAGTGGGAGAATAAATGTGTGGTTTGTATGCCAAACGACCGATCTCACCACCAAGTGTTCAGCGCACGCGTGGCGCCGCCATAGCTTTAGTTCATAGGAGGCAGGCGGCAGTTCTCGAGACACCTCTCGTGCCATGCCATGTCCTGAACGCGCAGTAATTCAGCGAGGTTTTCCCACGTGCAAAAAGACTAAAGTTCCCTCGATGCATTGCGGCAGTGGTGGCGTAACTAAACTCCTGGCAACTGAGAGAATCGCGGTTTTACATGATCGAGTTTTTGGCTGTTTCATCACTGCGCGTTTCATGGCAAACTCACCAATATATCTACAATCAGTCAGCGTCCACCTTACTTCAGTATCTAATGCGCATGTATCCGATGCGAATACTTTTTATTATTCGTGACTTACAATAATACTTTGAAGACGGCATAAGCTTTACGCACGTGGGTTATAAAACATGTAACATTACGCGAAAAACGGAAGGAAAACGCGGAACCCCAGATGGTGTCGATTGCTTGACGGGCAGCATTCCTTGAACTCGCATTCTGTAGTTTTAAGGGTACTCAGAAGAACAAACCTGAATTGGCTTGAGAATGGTACTAATCTTAACATCATGTCATGTGCCCAAAGACTTGAGGTCAAAAGTGCACATGCATAAATTGAGTTTATGGCTGACCTAGCAATGTGGTCTGTGGTTTAAAGTTTTCAATACACGCAACGTCATTGATCAAGAGGTGGACGATCAATCATGATCATGCTCAGGGTGGGCAGGTGTGCATTTGGGGGGAATCAAGCTATGAAAGAGTATAATTAAGATGATGGGGCTGGGAGTGGCTGTTCCACGTCATATTAGTACACCCTTTTAAGTGCCCGTGACGAAGAACGAGCATGAACTGACAACCTGTTTGATCGTGCACAGTCCCTATTGAGCGGTTGCAAGGGACAAGTTGTCAAAAAGTAGGTCCAGTCATTTCTGTCTGCTGCGTGAACTGCGAACGTCTGGTGGGGCATTTGAATATTTCGTTCTGCTAGACCTTAGGAGGGGTTAAAAATACCCAAGGGATATTGGCAACCACAAAACAGGTGCCGGTTTTTTTTTTTGTTTTTCTCCTATCCGAGAGAGATGACGTTTCCACTTTACCCATCAACTGATCAAGGGGTGATATGGAGGACACGTCGTAGCAGTGCTACCGTGTAAGAGGTCATTAGAGGGAACCTATAATTTGTGTCACGCGGCTGGCGTCTTTTTCTACAAACAAACAGTGTGTGTTTCCAATTAACGGCACTTTAATTAAGAGTTTGAAAACCCTCCTAGAATTTGATGGGCAGAATTTTGAAGCGAGCCGGCGGCAGACGTGCGCGCTCGCAATTGGCGACGAGAGTTTTTCAAACTTTTGACCTGGTAACCTCGACACTGAGAGAGGAGGGATGACAGAAGGAAATCATTCATTTGAGCCGGGCCTAGCCTCTAACCCACACGCAACTCGAAACTTCTAATACGGCCCCTTGTTTTTATGCGGGGGCAAGCGCCCCCTACTTCGTACCCCCCCCCCCCCCCCCCCCCTTTACCCCCTCCCTGATTTTATATGTTCGCATAAGCTGTGTTTTGTCTTATACATGTTTTATTTCTTCTGCCATCACACTCCCTGCGTTCTTTTTTGGCAAGCGACACTTTACGGCAGGCTGTACGCACGCCAAGCACACAGAGTCGTCGTATCAAACCGGTTTGCTGTTGTTATCTGAGGGCGAGAGCGTTGGACCGCGCTGCAGAGCGCGGCGGAGCGGGCTCCGCCATTACTGCCGCGGTTTCGGTTGCGGGTGGTCGTCGTCTGCTAACGCGACTTCTCTGTCGTCTGCTTGCCGCACGGTTCTACACCATTCGCGCGAGGACTTCGTTTTGGTGCAACTGTTCCCCGTAGGGCTGGATTCCACTGGCGAGTACATCAGAAAGTTTTTTTTTCTCGTCATAACCGAATTCGACAATTCCTTTTCCTGTGATTTTTGATCGGACAACTGAAAGCGCACCTTGCAGCCTGCCGTGGTGATACGTTTCTTTTCGTGTGAAGAGAAGTTCAGGCCAGAGGCACGGTTTCGTTGTGCATTAAACGGTGTAGTGCAGTCGATCTCTCAAAAGGTTTCGTGGGCCGCTTGGTGCCTTTTTCCGGCTTCCGATGCTGCAAGAGATGACTCGCGACGCGGACATGAACAACCAGAACACACAAAAGACGGAGACTAATACCTCGCGGTCTGCTCGAGTAACGGCGACGGTGAAGGTGGAGCCCGTGGCCGTCGGAGATGGCCTCAAACTGAACCCTTACTACTTCAAGACTGTCCCTGGAATCTTGAAACTGATTCAAGTGGTGAGCTCTTTCCCATCTATTTTCATTTGATGTTTTTGTTGGTTGGAAAAAAAAAGAAAGGGGAGTTTTCAAATCAAAATTCTATCGCCATTTTTGTAGTAGTGTGATTTGTTTTTCGGAATGCTGCCTTTTAATTGTTTGTTGCGTACGTGGTAGATCGTTTTATGAAAATATTTTGCTACCCAGTTGTTTTCGACTGGGAAATTGTAATGCAAGCTTAATTGTGACAATCATGGCACAATTCAGCTTGTACGCCCAGTGTGTCGTGAAGCTGCAGTTCCTTGAACATAAGGTTGGTGCTGTCATGACTATTTTTTTTTTACAGTATGTGATTATGGTAACGTTTGCGAAATAGCCCAGGCCAATTTATTGCTTTTATTTGCCTTTCAAACTTTAAAAAAAAAAAAAATCCGTTTATCTGACAACATTATTAAGAAGGCGGTAACCCGTAGAATCGTTTGATCTATTTACTACTAATTGTATTTATCTAGCCTGAGGTCGACACTCTATCCGCTCAACAGTGTGGAGAAAAAAAAAAAAAGATTTCCAAGTGTGATTTACAAAAACAAAACGAAGCAAAACTTTTCGCATGTTCTATTAAAGTCACAAACAGCCACGTTTTGTGATTAACAGTTGATATTATATTAGGATTAGGTGTGATGACTATAAGAGTCAATATCTACAGAAAAAAAATTCGGGTGGGAATAAATACCGCAATAAGGAGTCGAACAGACAGAATAGAAGTCGTCCTAAGAGCGCAGAATTTATCGTGGCCAGCTTCACGCTGATACCAGGTCAAATCGCTCATAAACAACGGAGTGCCCTTCGCCGTGTAAATGTTACTCGGCCAGTGGGTTATCGCACCGAAATATTCCGGTCATCACGGCGCGGTCTTTTTGTGTGACAATTTCGCGGCCTGCCACAGCGAAGCTTCGCAGTCGAGAAAACCAGTTTGGAAGAAACACGCTCCATCCGGGTTCTCACGTATCTTCCAAGGATCGCCTCGTTCCTAGCGCGAACGCTACCTCCTTCCAACAAACTCCCTGGCTCAGCCGATCACAACTCCCACTCCCGGCATGCCAATCGCCAAAGCTCGGTAGGGAGTCGACGGTGGCACTGAATCTTTATAAATTCTCAGTTTGCCTGGTTTTGTGCACGTACCCTTATTTGAGCTTGTCAACTCACGTGGTCCTTTGACCGAGCACGCTAGCGGAGAGTGCCGCAACTTCAGCGAAGGAACAACTTTCCACGTTCGTACTTAATGGTTGGATTAAGGAAACAATGGCAGCGTGGAGCACATTATGATGGGACCACATTATGCAGAGCTTTGCCGTATTTGAAAAAAAAAAAAAAAAAAAAAAAAAACGAAATGTTCTAATATTCGAAAAAAAAAAACAGCACACACACACACACAAGTACACACACACAAGCACGGCCTTGCATGGTGCCTGCTGCAAGTAGACGTGTATTGAGGGCGCGCGTGGAGGGGAAGAGGCGTGCGACTACGCACTTGCGCCCGGAGCGGGAAGTCAAAACAGTTGTTGCACGAAATGGGACTAATGAAAAACAAATTGTCAACGTGAACGTTAAAAAGCTGGGAGGCACTCGACAAAAGAGCTGCTCCCTTCGATTTCAATCAGGCTTGCAGCGACTGGCCAGCTACACTTCCGTGGATAATCTGGCAGTGCATATAACGAGTGTGCGGAAATCTCTTCGCTTTGATGACGAAGCAAAGAGTTTCAATTCTGTCCACCAAAAAAAAATATCTGTTGCCCGTTACGACACGAGATCTGTGCGATAAGTTCCCCCATAGCACGTGCCGGCTGCTTCGCCGTGATTGGCTGCACCTGCGCAGAATTGTATCGAAAGCAGAAAGTTCGCGCTGGAGTCGGAGCTTTTACTGCAGACCTTATGTTGCGACAGACTATTGTGAAAACGAGTTCGATGGAACTTGATTTCGAAGAGTGCTCGAATGTGCACAGTTTCGGACTCGTCGTCGAGTGCAAAGAACGTGCAGACGTTGACTCTCTCCTTGCAGAAATAACTGTGTTTTGGTATCTCTCTGGTATTAAAACTGGAAAGTATATGGCACAGTTTTTACGCATATTAGCAACACACAGTACTGAGATAAAATTGCATCCCACGTTGACGTTTCTTCTTTTTTTTTTTTAATCTTAGTCATTAGTTGTTATCACAAGTAACGCTTATCCTAAGGTTTTGATGTCGGCGATGTTTCGTCGATATTAATTTTGAAGGTGTACGAACTAATTTTTTTTGGTCGCGAGGAAAATAGGGCATGCAGCGTTCACTTGGAGGAGCCAATAGGACCAACTCCCTTTCGCATAAGGTATTTTATAGCAATTTATTCAATGCAGAGTTATAGTCATAACTGCGCACGTCGAGATATGCCAGAGCGTGTACGACTACAGACAATGGTCGTAATTTAACTTGCACACAGAAGGTGCGTACCCCTAAAGACAACCTCTCATAACCCTGAGCTCTTCTAACGCCGTTTAAGAAAAAAGCGTACAAGAACGAAACTCACTGTATGGCTCGCGTGCATCGCTGGAGGCCCCAGCAACTTGCATTACGTATAATATATGCTCGTGAAATCAGCATTCATCGCCACGCATTAATTGACCTTCTCCGCTCCACAACTCGAGAGCTCCTCGCCCCAGATCTGCTACGTTGAGCTAGTCCAAAGAGTTTGTAAAGACCCCTAATAGTATTGCGAAACCCATACCGCCCCCCCCCCCCCCCCCACCCGCCAAATGGCATTATTAATGTCGAACCTTCCTCACTTTTACTCGTGTCTCTTTTACTAGGGTCAGAATGACATTTACCGACATGACGTTCGGAGTAATCGACAAATCTGCCCGTGATGCTGGCTCCAAGCGTCAAGAGTTGGACTGTATTGGATGGAATTCGTCTGAACGTAATTTAACGCTCCAGCGTGACTATAGTCAGTTACAGGTTAAGAAGAGTTTTCGAGGGAAAGGAAGGCTGAGGAGGAGGAAGCAGACGGAACGCTGGAGAAGGCATCCAGCATTCCGTTTGCTTCCTCCTCCCCAGCCCTCCTTTCCCTCGAATACTTTTATTAACCTGAAATTGACCATAAGATGATAGCCACCTTCGACTTCCCACTTTCTTCACTGGACTTCAGAACACAAATAATAATAAAGAACACAATACAAAAAGGATATGCAAAATAGGCTAGGTTTTCCCTCCTTTAACGAAGTGACGACACTAACGATATTTTGCAGGGAAACAATTCCATCTTGAACACGCCACTGCACGAGGGCGTCTCAGGACAGGCTCACAGCCTTAAGACGATCTGGACCGTGTGGGCGGAAGAGCGATTCGTTAAATGGGGCATCTCGCAGCGCAGACACGGTGGTCATGGCGACCTCCGCGTGCCCGAATACTTCTCTCCACCAGAGGTCCGCTGCTTTTTCTCGACGTGTGCCGAGCGATGCTTTCAGGCGAGACGTGCCCCGCTAAAGAGCCCGATGTGGCCCCTTGGACCGTGGCCGTTCATGCGGCTGCACGAGAGATTAAGCGTTGCCTATCGTGTCCGCTATGGCGTGTGGGGTGGATGTTACGGGTTACGGAGGAAAGGGGGGGGGGGGGGGGGGGGGGTCCATTGTGAAAGGCGCGTTTTTTCACGACCGACCGCTCTTGTTGTTTCGGCGCGTTCTTGCCACGTTTCGAGTCGAGAGGACAAACGGCAAGGTAGCCCCGGCATGAATATTTAGCGGACGGGACCACGCTTTTGTTGGTCTACGGTCGACCTCACGAGACCACGAGAAGCGTGTCGGGCCGGCGGCCATCACGAACTCGCGCACGACTTCCGAGCTCGTCGTGGCAGATGGGACAGTTGAGTCTGATGCATCGACATGTGGGGCCGGTGTTGGATGCTCCAGCGTTGATTTCTCAGGGGCATTCTGTCGAGAAACACGTTGGCAACAAAATAGCTCGAGGGGGTTAGAAGTTGGGCCTCGGGTCACCCTCCTTCGTGTTCCGATGGTTAAATCTCCTGGAAGATCTCTCCGGCGCACATTTCCGCTTTTGCTTCGAAGAGGTAACCTAAGAGGAAAATCTGTGGCCTGTGCGGTTGACCCTGGAGCGCGCCGATTACGTCTTGAGCCGGCTAAGGCAACCGGTTGGCAAAGGGAGCATGTGCTGGCGGAATGCTCGTACACGCGCATCCTGGTTCCCTCATTCTGGGTTTTCTTTCGTACTTTGTTTGTTTTTTTCTACGTGAGGAAATTTTGCTCTTCCGAGTAGCGGTTCCACGCGGGGATATGTTGATGCGTGGAGATTTGCATGCGGGTGCCAAGGGTGGAATATTGGCATTCAAATGATCCAGCCGTCGGATGCGCGCACGTGGGTTCCCCTTCTGGAAAACCCTCAGTAGGATTTTCGTGTGAAAATATCGCGTTCGAGTTACAATTTAAGTCGAGAGAACAGCTTCGGTGATAGAGCTTGCTATTAAAAACCGACGACCAGTTCGCGCTTTCCACTTCCCCCCTCCCTTCCTCCTCTCCCCCCTTCTACTCTATGCACCGTTGCCTGTTTCCTTCTTTCCCATGGTGAGGAGGATCTTCTGCCTTGCAGAATCTCGAGTCTGGTCGTCGGCCTTTAAGCAAATCACGTTGCACTTGAGGAGGAGAAACTCTTCAAAAAGTTGAGACTCAGAGGCATGGAACTCCGTAAAAGAAAAGATGAAAAGAAAGAAGAACTTACATCTGAATTGATGGGGCCCCCATAAAAGAAAAAACAAAACAAAAAACACCCATATCAGTATAGAGGACAATCCTTCTACCGTTCACGCCTTTCTCGAGAATTCCGGGCGTCCCCGCGGCTCCGGTTGTCTCGAACCAATATCGATCAAAGGGTTCACTCCCTCCGTGCACCCCATCACGTTCATGTTTGAGAATGTGCCTTCTACGAACGACATGTGGAATGCTCTCGAGATAGACGTGTCTCGTATGCGAGGC